ATTCCTCGACTTTCTGGCTTCCAGCTGTACGAAAACCTAAAAATAGACTGCCGAATATTTCAAAAAAGGCTCAAATGGTCAAGTATGAATTTATTTAGCTAACGGCAATGTGTGCAATCACGCGTAAGCTATAATGGCGTGAGTGTCCAAAGGCACATTCCGAAATTGTACCTGGTCTTCCATTTTTTAAATGTGCTTTGAAGGCGCTTCATGACGTGATGTTCTCATATTTCTCAAACTTGGTTTTGTTGTGCTACTGCGTGTATTATCGCACAATTTTACAACGGCATATTCAGTATTCCACAAACGTGAAGCAAACGAATGAAAGCACGTACATACAATCTCTTCTTTTTTTTTCTGATGAGTTTAACAGCGGAGGAATGGAATTTTCGGTCCCCTAAAGACCATTCTTCACCGTTAATTAACGAACAGCTGAATGAAGAAATAGCTCTTGAAAAAACATGGCTAGCCAATAAGGGCTCATGGCTCAGTGATTATGATTTATTAACGATGCAAGAGCTAAGATAGGATGCCTCAACGTAAGCGGAATAACCGCAAGTCTGCTGTTCTGGCTATTTTCGAGAGAAAAACTATTTAGAACAGCAACGACTTTCAAAAATCAAAGTTAAAACCTCAACACAAACACCTGGTTTATAAAGCATGTGATAGAATCTCCATCACAAGAGTTACTGGTAGACTAATTTTATTATGGCATTATCATGAGGATAATGTCAGTCATATTTATGAAGCATGAGTTTTGACTCGACTTATAATCAAATCACAAATGCGATGGAACTGCTTTGGTAGAAAAAAATTGTTTACGAGTCGCCTTCAGTTTTTCTTTCCAATTTCATTCTCCTTGAAGGGAGTAAAATAGAACTGTCCATAACATTCGATCAAGTTATATTTGAAGAAAGTCTTTTGTAAGATCCAGTTTTTCTTCAAAAATGTGCCAAGAATCCGGATTTTCACATTTTGAAATTCATTTTAGTTTGATATGAACTCAGAATGTTTTTGTTGCTCTTTTTTACACCAAACAAACCAGTCCATCCATTTTGGGAAAACTTATGGACCTGTCAATCAGTACACCAGTGAGAAAAAACTACTGTTTGTTTATGTGGCTGTTCGGCGGAGATTTATTGTTTCCCTTGTTGTCGTAAGTGTGCACGTTCTCTGATCGCAGGCTTTCGACAGCTCTCATGAGACTTACAGATTCGGAAATTTTTACCGTTTCGACAATGCTTTTTTGAAGGTGAGCAATTCGAATGTAAAATTCAGGCCATACCGTACCTCTTGCGTGCGGACCAATCAGCGCTTTAGCGAACGGTATGGGATACAATGTGGGCTGGAGTTTAGAGTTGGATTATTTAGCCAAGAATGAATTATAAGAGCTGCGCTTGAAAGTGACTTATAGGCTTTCCAATAGTCTATACGAAAACTGACATCTAAGAATGTTAGAACTCCCCACTCAATCACCTTCCTTCCTCTCCGACCTTCCATCATCATCACCGACATTGCTATTCAGTTGTTTGACGCGTGTCCGATGTGTATTTACGTATCTTGGATAGAATTTCATCCGCGCGCGTTTTCATATCTCGAAATGATCACAAACCATTTCGCCGACGCTGCTTGTTCTATTATGCTCACCATAGTTCGGTGGCGCTAAATCAAACACAAACACACCGCTGTGCTAAGCCCCCTCCTGTTTTCGTAACAAACACAACAGATCTGCCGTATCTATGGCCGAGCTTCATTCAAATGCGCATGTTTTCGTTTAAGCTGCAAAGCTGCTTCATAACATTAAACTCGTTGCAGCGGGCATTAGTCGCCTCTCGGCCGAAAGTAAATCTTGGACAGATGTGATGAGCGGTAAAAAAACTTGCTTGCATTTAGTAGCCTAGCGCGGCTTTCCGGCAAGTCGCCTAAAAAGAGCGCTGCAAACGAAATGCAAAGCTGTTTTGACTCTCTAGTACACCTCCCTCCCCCTTTCCATGTCTTTCTAGAAAGAGAAACAATCGCTTGATGTTGATGAGTTCTGCAGAATAGAGTCGTTTTATACCAAAAATACTAAATATACGCTCAGCCGGTCATTATTAATGCTAATAATGTATGCAAATACACAAAGCATGCAAATTGCGAGTCAGATCCTGAATTAGATTTCCTGATTCCATGTCTCAGGAGGTTCTGATGTTTCTTTTGCCTAGGGGAAGGAGGAGACAGAAGTCCTGATTCCATCTTTCAGGAGGTTCTGATGTTTTTTTGCCTAGGGGGACGGGGAGACGGAAGTTCAGAAAAAACAAAAGTCTAAATAGGCGAGAAAATTTGCGTCGATGTTGTTAGATTGAAGATTTCACGCGCTATATGCATAATTTGTGCATTTGCACATTTTAGGTTACAAGTGACTTGACTGTGGCCTCTGTAATAAAAAATGTTGCGCAAGATAGCCAATGCTCATGTGCCGTGTTGCGTGCGATGCTGCAGCGGGACGTTTCTACCGCGCTTGAACGAACTGTGGAGGAGCTAACCTCCCGCGAGGCATCAATTTCTACTTCAACGCGTCGTTGATATTTTATTCATATGCTTCTAATCGTATTGTCCCAATTTTACGACACTAACTGTGAAGGCATAATTAGACCGGCACGAAATGACGCGATTATATTTTTTGCAAATTCCATGCATAATTCCCAACCATTTGACGCGGAGCCCATTCGTTCCAATTATAATGCGGGGGTCCAGTAGATTTTGCATAGTGAGCAAAAAATATGTTAGTTATGCATGTGCGCCTATGTGCAAGCCTTATGGAAAGTGTTGATTTCCTACTTTGAAATGCAACAAAAGAACATATTTGGCTCTACGACAAAAGAGCATAGAAACGAAAATTTATGAATCCATTTTTAAATTCCTCTTCTTGTGCGTAAACGTTTGAAAGCAATATTCAAATGTGTTGTGATTTTCATCATAAATGCAAGCATCATTTTCATCCAGAATTCAATCATGCAATTGTGTATCTTCTGCAAGCGCAGCGGGTTCACTGGGAGCAGGCTGAGTTGCAAAAATGGAACACTTTTCGCGTACGCTACAAATGTGTAAAAATATGCAGCATACAGAAACAGTACGAATGAAATGCTATTAGGCATTAGATAGCTTTTGGTAGTAGGCGCTAAGTGCTTGAGATCAAAAAATCACAAACTCATCCGATTAAATGATATTTGTTGGTGTTTTTATTCAGGAAGTGGATTAGTTCATAAGTATGGTACTAATAGTCAACGGATGACAAGGACTATAGGCCAATAAAACTGTTACTGTAGTCCTGGGCTAATGAAACACCTGCGCGCAAAAAATTGCTCATGAAGCGTACATTTTCAAGGCAAACCTCTCGCAGTCATTTATATGCGTACTTTCGCAGCTCATTCTGTGAACACAAGACGTGGAAGTCACATGCAAGCGTCCTGTATCGATGGCTCGAAATTCCGGCACAGCCCTAGCATGGCGCTGGCATGGCGCTGAAACGACGCTGGCACGTACAATACATGATGGGCCAGCGCACTTGCCTCTCAAGGTTCTAAGATAAGATTAAATCTATTTTATCTTCTATTGACTGGTTCGAGGTTTTCGATGATTTTTTGGACATTGACGATGCCTACACCCGTTTTCTTCGTATCATGCATGGAATCATTGATCAATATGTACCACGGAAAACTCGCAGGCAGGGGTTAGGAAAGTATCCTGACCACATTCGAAATCTTTTTGAACAAAGGCAAAGAATATTCAAACAATCTCGCGACCCCTTGCACTGCTTAACTTTTAAAACTGTTAGTCAGAACCTTGAGCACCATTTGAAGAAGTATATGTCTTACAAAACCAGATTGCTCGCCAAGACTAAATACATGAAGGGGATCATTTCTTATATCAAGGACAGGACAAAGCGGTCAGTCTCTCATCCATTGCTCATATGTGAGGATGGATCTTGTTGCAGTACAGATTTTGAAAAAGCGGAGGCTTTTGCTGGTTTCTTTCGCAGTACTTTTACTTCCCATATGGAATGCAGAAGTAACCTGGCGAAAGTGACTGATGAAAGCCTAAGGTTGCCTATTATCACTCCCGAAATGGTTGCTAAACAAATCAAAACCCTGAAAACGTCACAGTCGATTACTTCTGACGGCATACCGCAGGTTTTGTACAAAATGTTTCCCTCCCATCTCTCCGTTCCCCTTAGTCACATTTTCAACATTTCTCTTATGACAGGGGAGGTACCTAAACCTTGGAAGGCTGCAGTGGTGACTCCGATCCCAAAAGGGAAAGAGTCTACCACTGTCACCAATTACCGCCCGATCAGTATCCTCCCTGCATCACTAAAAGTTCTTGAGAGGATCATTAAGAAACATCTGCTCGAATGGTTAGATCACTTGAACCTTATTCCCATAGAACAGCACGGGTTCTTAGCAAGATCCTCCACCTGCTCACAATTGATAGACTGCTTGCATCTTTGGAATAAGGCACTAGGTGACGGGAAAGGTGTGGATGTAGTTTATTTTGACCTTAGTAAAGCTTTTGACACTGTTTGTCACGAGTGCCTTTTAGGTAAATTGCGGAGTATAGGCATAGAAGGCAATCTGCTGGATTGGTTCCGTTCTTATCTCACGGACAGAAAGATGATAGTGCGCTTCTCTCAAGACTTTTCTTACCCTAGGGAATGCTTATCGGGCGTTCCGCAGGGAGGGATACTGTCGCCCATACTTTTTCTCATTTATACGTATGATTTACCTGCGTTCCCAAAAACGGATACGAGAATTTTTGTCCATGCATACGCTGATGACATCAAAGTCACTGCTGTTTATAGTGAAACAGAAAAAGAGGCAGTTCAGCTGGCGTTGACGGAATCTGTCGAACGCATGTTGCACTGGACCAATTTCTGGAATCTCAAACTCAATTTTCGCAAAAGTCAGCACCTCCCTATTGGACCTCTTACATTGAACGTTTGCAACGATGAGCTAGGAAACATGTTAACGGGCAGGGAAGTGCGGGACCTTGGCGTTCTAGTCGGCAAGGGCTTGAATTTTGAGAACCATGTTGACGCAGTAACGGCAAAGGGTTTGAGAGTTTTGCATTGTCTTTTTCGGAATGTGATTAGCTCGGATATTTTTCTTTGGATCAAGCTTTTCAAAATGTTTGTTCTGCCATTACTTGAATACTGTGGTCCTGTATGGAGCCCTTACCGTTCCAAAGAGATTAATAAAATCGAGAATGTACAGAGGATTTTTACTAGAGTGCTCTATTACCGCGCCTTCCCTGACCCAGGCTATCCGCAAAATTTACCCCCTTATAAGATTCGTTTGCGCGAGTTGAACCTCAAGAGTCTTTTCTACAGAAGGGTAGAAGCTGACTTGATCTTAGCGTTCAAACTTCTTAGAGGCGAGCTTAGACTGAGACCCTCTAACTATTGGTCGTTTCGTCCGGTGTACGGGCGTCACGGCGGTTTTGCCTTTCGACTAAAGTTACCCAGCTCAAACCGTCTCAGGTGTACGAGTTCGTTCTTTTTCAGAGTCGCCAAATGGCTGGAACGTTTACCAACTACTCTTTTACGCTTAAAAAATTCAGCATGCTTCAAAAACGCCATTCGTAAAATGGACATTCTACAAGTACTAGGCATACGGGACGTGGAATAGCTCTCTTGTTTGTTGCCTCGATCATTCTCCACATTAGTTTCACTAGTTGTATAGTTTAGTTTTCCGACCTGCAGTAAGCGAGGTTAAAGTACCTCTCACTTTTCCTACCTCTTTTATGAACCTCACAGTTCGGGTTCAGTATTTTTTTGTTGACCAAATAGTCTCTCCTCTCATTTTCCTTTTTCGGATCTTCGAATGAGTTTTCTTGAAGATTGTGGTCTGGTCTTTCGGGATTTTTTTTCTTTGCACTACAATGGTCGTGATGCTACTCCTGTGGATACTTTTGATATTGCTCTGCTTTCTTTCGCCTCTTCGGTCAGCCATTGGGGGTCTGTGGGGAGGAGCGGGAGTGTCGGCGGGCGGTGGTACTGGCTGCCCCCTGCCAGTGCACCCGTTTCGGCTAGTCCGGCGGGGGCTGCCAGTATAGCCGGGCGCCGAGCTTCTGGTCCGTCCCCAGGGCTTCATGTGGTTGTCTTGAGGGGGTGGGAGAGGGTTGATCAATATTTCTGATTTTTTTACATTGTTTCTTGCATTTATTTGCGTCTCTGAGCTTTGAATGCTCCTCCTTCCACTGAGTGCAAAGTAAATCTCGTTAGATGCGGATGACCGATTCATTATTACGGTACCACGATGTTGTTATTTTCTTCCTTTTTTTTGTGTTTTGTCTAGCTTACTCCGGCTGTTTTGAGAATTGTTCGGGTTGTACTAAGCACGCCTTCGGGCGTACCAAATCTAATATATAAAGAATGACAAGCGCAATTCAAAAATCGGCAAATAGCGGGAAACCGCATGGCGGTCCCAGCGCGCGCGTGAACATCTAGCGTTAGCGGCAACATCCATCCTGGCCTAAAATTTTGCCTTTTTTCGATGTTTGTTTTTTTATCGAAGTTTTTTCTTCTGATTTTTTCTTCTGAAGATCGCATGTTCAGGACTGCGTTGGCCGCGTTGGTGAGTAGTTCGTATTGCCCTCAGGGACCTGTTTGGAGTACGGGAAGTATTGGAACTTTGCCGAATACTGCGCATAAGACCTGTTTGGAGTACGGGAAGTATTGGAACTTTGCCGAATACTGCGCATAATTAAGAATTTTTGGTTTGTGGATTCTAAGTACCTGTTTGCCGATACGAACATTATGAAGTCATCTTAGATCTTCTTCGATGACGGTTTAGAATATGTCCAGGCTGCGTTTGACACTTGTGATGATGCTGCTATGCAGGCTTCCATAGTAAGTTGAATAAAAGATTTTGGCAACTTATGACGTTTTGACGGTTATGAAATTTAAATTTCCAGATAATGGATGATAGGAATATCGTGCAATAGTCTCGAGATAAAATCAAGATGCTGAAGATATTGCCATTAGCTAGACAATCAATTGCCACAAACGAAATCGATGTAAGTCTTCTTTCTCATACTCTTAAACTTACCTTGTGTTTGATTGCGATCACTCTACCTCCGTCCAAGTTCTATTTACACTTTATGATTCAATATTTTATTTGCCCCTTGCTTATTTACAAGTACTTTTTCAGAATCTGTGGTTTTGCAGATCGCTAAAGGAGGTGTATATCAGTTGATTTTGCAGATCGCTAAAGGCGGTGTATATCAGTCGATACGACAAAATCCGAAGCGTCGCCGATTTATTCAGAAATACTTTGAGAAATATCCAGACTGGCCTTCGGTGCACATGAAGAAACCATCGCCACCTGAGCGACCAGCTCAAGCCATCGTAATACGCCGCTGATTGGGTTTTCTCATTCATTAGACAAGTTTCCTTTACTATCCTAGGCCTATGATTGCAATCAAGATCGAGTGACTGCATACGTTCTGAGATTTCCACCGAGAAACTGTTTCGTCAGTGTAGCTAACTGCTTCGAATATTCATGCATATTCAAAGGTTTTGAGATTCTCTAACACTTTGAATGGTTACAGCAGAGGATATTGGTATGTGCATATTTTTTCGATTACAGAATTTGGAGCACTTTGGAAATAATAATATGTCAGCAAGACGTATGGCCAAGAACCGATTGCACTTTGATGTCGTACAGCCTGGACCAAGCATGGATAAGCTGAAGTCCACAACCACGGTTGGTTCTCGATATTTGATGGTTACCGTGACCCAATCATAGTGGGTGTACAGTTGTAGTTTGTGGCGTCTACCAGTATCTTGGGAAATTGTGGAGTTTTGATCCGACCGTTGGTGTTTTGGATGTGAAGTCCCGAACTAAGCTAATTATTATTAGTATAAGAAGTTGTCCTTAGTTTTCTTGTTTGTAGAATTGTGAAAAAAAACGGGATCTATGAGTGGAGAATCTCGCTTAGAGCTTATGGCTGATTCTATATCGTAGAGAAGAGATTTGTATAAGATTCCAGATTATAGGATTCCATTTGGACGTTCTTTGGCTTCGAAAAAAGCCATAGCGGCTTATTTGAAAGTATGTGTTGTTTTTGTCTGCTCTATTCGAGATTATAAGATTCCATGTGGACGTTCTTTGGCTTCGAAAAAAGCCATAGCGGCCTATTTGAAAGTATGTATTATTCTTGTCTGCTCTATTTACTATATTTCAGAACATTGAAATATAAACAATTCTTGCAGCGTGAGCAGCGTGTACAGCACTCTTTCTTGCAAAAAAATTGCAAAGCTGTTTATTTTTCTTGCCGCTTGATTGTGGGTTGCTCTGCTGAGTTCAGTGAGAACTTCCTTGTTTTTCAGGTTATGGCGGTGCTTTGGTTTTTTTGCAAGGACCGTCGAAAGTAGAACTTACTCGCAAAGAGCAAACTCTGGTTTGATCAAAGTGAACTACAAACCAACAGAACCTGAAGTTTATGTAGTGGCTGTGAAATTTGCTGATAATCAGGGAAAGGTGAAGTTTTAGTGTTATTTTCACTTGAAACGAAAATGTTCACGTATTTTAGACAGTCCATTCACTGTGCAGTGCACAAGAAAATGAGCTGGAAGGAAATTTGAGGAGACTCACAAGAAGACAGAACAGGTACACTGAGTGAAGTGGAAAAGTTGGGGTTTAGAGTTCGTATCACTCACTTCAGGGTGGAGTGTCACTTGCTGGTAAAGAGGCTGCGGTATTTATAAAGTTGCCTTTCATATCTCCGATTGATAGCGAAGCACGAGTTATGGAGGAAGGGACATACTGAACACACTGAGATGAGAGACCTCGGAGAGCAAAACTTACAGATTAGGTTAGTACTCTTGTTGGTTTTTCGTAAAACGGCTGCCGAGAAGCATGTAACTTGCCCAGTTTTCGTGCACAAATTCTGAGCGATCAGAATCATTTCTTCCTTGCTTTATATCTTATATACGAAGATGAAGAAGACGACCCTTCAATACTGCGGTTGAGGTGGTAGACGATAACACTTTTTGGTTTTTCGTGAAGATTGTCTCCATTACTTGTCGTAGCCGTGATGGATGTGATGCATTGTTGGATATACGTTGTTGAATATAGTCAATACATTATTGTTTTCTCTATAAATACAGTTGCTGATGGTAGTTGGTCGATCGATTCCAGTGCGGTTCCTCCCACGATACGTTTATCCAAAGAATCATCACGTTTTAAAACCGATTTTTCATAACAGTGTATTAGAAGAGTATTCTCTTAGCTTCGCATATCCCCAACCATTTCGGAGCAGTGATGAGAGCTTCTTACTCAGAATAATCTGGACAATTTTTAAACTAATAATAATGAATGACTTATAGGATCGATTACTCCACCAGCAGCATGCCGATCGAAACAATTTTCATTTGCTAGAATTGCATCACTTTTAGGTGTATTTGTGTTTCTAGCTTGTCTAACATCGTAATGTTGCTTCATTTTATATCGGGGATTCATCTTTCATTTTCATTTATCCTGTGTCCCTCACTTCTACCTTCTTCGACGCGGCCATGTCGGCTGCGGATGCGAGAGAGTATTAATTTCTAAAGTTTTGTTGTGCACTCGCCACCATTTATTGATGCCTTCTCCACCATCGGTGGCATCTTGTGTCCTTTTCACCATATCGCCTGATAGGGATGTGACAGTGTCTGTAAAACCATTGTTGATGCATTACGCTCGATCAAACTTACATTCATATAGCCCGCTCCTAGCGTATGAGCAAATAAAAGCGTTGCATAGAAGTTCGGCCGCCTTGGAACGGGGAGAGTATTCGATGCCATGAAACAGTGGAAAAAAGAGAACCTTGGTTATGGCGCTGAAAAGAAAGGAAGCAGGAGGAATGACAGGATAACGTCGGCATCACTCTCAAAGCGTCTTCTTTCGATTTTTTCCTCTTAGTATCATTTAGATTGAAAAAAAAGAATCATTCGCATAAAAAAGAAAGGATTATCATTTACATAAAATACATAAAAAAGAAAGAATTATCAAAAATCATCGAAATCATTTACATATTATTTACTGTTTTGAAAATGTGCGGAAAAAAAAGTAGAAGTAGATTTGATTGGAGTAGCCGCAGTGGTGGTGGTTTTCGTGGCAAAGCACGAATGAGAGGTGGACGATCTTGAGGTGGTAGACGATAATGGTTTTTCGTGAAGATTGTCTTCATTACTTGTCGTAGCCGTGATGGATGTGATGCATTGTTGGATATGCGTTGTTGAATAAAGTTATTACATGATTGCTGTTTCTATAAGTACAGTTGTTGATAGTAGTTGATCGATCGATTTCAGTACTGTTCTTCTCACGATACGTCTATCCAGAGCATCATCATGTTTTAAAACCGAGCTCTAAGCTGAGTTCCAAGAATGTCCTTAGCGATGAATGGCCATTCTCCTTGGATCAGATCAAACGAAACACAGACAAAATAATGATATGAAATACAACTTGTATTGCTTCCTTTTATGGTTCTCATCTTTCATGAAACGGTATTCTCGGCATTTTTTTCCTTTTGCTTTCTTGATTTTTTAACAGCTTATTATTCAGGGACGCTATCGACGCTTGGATCATTTCCAGAAAGATTTTGTCGAGCTTTTCGATCGATCGCGCACGTGAACTTATCAGGAGTGATTCAAAGGTATTTTGCTTTGTTTTTATCTTCTACTACTAATAAGAATATTATAATAAGGTGAAAAAACTAGGGAACAGTTTGCATATTTTGTAGCCGTTACGTCTCAGTTACGTTAATCGGAGTTTCAGTTCACCTATTTTGAAATAATTTTCTGATTCTCAAACGTATATATTTTTCAAAATTCACTGTTGAACTAACAGCCGTCATTGTAATATTGTAATTGTATTGTAATTTGATAGAATATCAATCATGCAAAAAAAAACCTTGTTTAGTAGTGTCAGTGAAATCCAGCATATTAAATCCAGATTCGGTTGTTAGTCTATCTTGGGTGACATGCACATTCTAACATGCCTCACACCTCATATCTCCTCGTCTCATCGACGACGGGGTCATGAGGTAAGTTATGCCCTACTTGCGATCACCTTATATCACCTTATATACAAGAGCGGATAACGGGGATCTTCTTGTAAATGGCGTACTGCGAAGTTACATCTAGCTTTTGTCTACCGTCGCGTTGACTTCCAAGGAGCAGAATTTTATACGGTATTTTCCCAGGCTTGAGGCGTGGGAAAACATGTACCATATAATGAATGGTTAACTCAGTTCGAAGTCTTCAAATGGCGGGAAACCGAGGGCGGTACCAGGTGGCGCATGCGTGAGCGTTCTGGGCGCGGTTCTTGGAAGCCCGTACGTCAAACGATGTTGTTACTGGCGCGTGCCATGTAGCATCACAGTGAGAATAGCCTGCAGGGCGTCCTGCCGCTCAGCCTCCGCTCCAGATATATCCTCTCGCACCTGTAGGTGTTCACCAACCAGGAGGATACCTTCCTCAACCTGATCCTCCTCAATCCTACGTCCAACAGGCATAGGCTCAAGGCGCTTATCAAGGATATCCCTCTCAACAAGGTTTATTGCTACTGAGATATTGGATTAGGTTGAAATAGTTTAATAACTTTTTTGATTGCTTCAGCCCGATCAAGATCGATAAAAACTTTTTAAAGTGATTTAAATTGATTAGTTGTAACTTCGAATAATCTGCTTAAAGGCTATCCACCGCAGCAAGGCGGTGCGCCCGATTACTATGTCAAGCCTTTTTGTCATTTTGATTTTATTTTATAATTAAAACAGAAGTGTTTCAGAGTAGTGCGGCTGCGGAATGAACTTTGAGTGGATACCAACACCAACTCAAGCACCACAAGAAAACAGCAAGAAAAAGCAGTGTTTTCGGGCGATGAAACAAAAGAGTTTTGCTGATGGTAGCGTGTCCGAATCCGGTGTAACTACTGACGAGAAGAAAGAAAAGGAAGAGGGCGAGAAGATGCGAGATCGATGAGAGCGCGAAAAATCCGATGATGCTACCATCGAGCACGCAGCCAAAGTGGCTCTAAGCGAAAATGTTCAAGCTGTTGTTGCGGCTGCTGTCGCCGCTGCCGCAATGAATAAGGTGTTGTTCTCTATTGAAATATCTTCTCGTTTGAATATAGTGTTTGTCAGTAGTTTACTTGAATTTCAGCACCTCGCCAGCGGTGAATCAAGTCATTAGTAGCTCAATCAGTGGAAATTTAGATAAAAAAAAGTTGGAAATGAAACCACGGCACTTTGACGAGTTAGAGCAAATTATGGATAAAGAAAGAGGTGTGAGCTGTTTTCGCGTTTTTTTTTTGAGTTTTCTTTGATTAAAATGGAATGTTGTTGTGCGTATACTCCTTGCTTTAGATAGATTATGAGCGCCAGCAACTTATTCTTGAACGACAAGCTTTCCATGTGGATCAGCTAAGTTATCTGGAGCAGTGTGGCAGAAGCAGATAGAAAAATGATAGCAGCGGGGCAAGTGAGTTACATAGTGTCCTTTCTATAGTAAGTACTCTTAACTTAGTTTCAGTCGCCAGCATCGTTACAACCAGATTCGAAGTCAGTGATCCTCCTCAGCTGACCCCATAAGTGCAAGTAGCTGTTCCGCCTGCTCATGAACGTGAGCATAGCGATTTCTCTTTTTTAAATGTAGTAACTCATTAGAAAAGCAGACTATTTCTATTCAGTTTCATTTCTGTACTTTCAATCTGCAGTTACTTAGAATATCGAGCGACTTCAGCAACTACAAAGACGAATGAGGCTTTGTCAGAAGCTGCTGTAGCCGCGGCACTAACTTCCGCACCCGTACGACCTCGAGCTGTACAGCGGCAGCAGATTCCGGCATTACAGCAATGACAGCCTGCAGCGCCTCCTGCCGCTCAGCCTTCACGCCAAACATACCTCCTGCATCTGTAGATGTTCACCAACCAGAAGGATACCCTTCTCAACCTGACCCTCCTCAAACCGTGTCAATGAAATCTAGCATATTAGATCCAGATCCGAGCTGTTAGCCTATCTTGGGTGGCTAAAGGCATAGTTTCAGGTACTAGCATGCCTTAAACTTCAGATCTCCTCGTCTTATCGACGACGGGGTCATGAGGTAAATTATGCCCTACTTGCGATCACCTTTTATCACCTTATATAGAAGAGCGGATAACGGAGATCTTGTAAATGGCTTACTGCGTAGTTGCACCTAGCTTTGGTCTACAATCGCGTTAGCGTCCTAGGAGCAGAATTTTATGCGGTATATACCGTATATCGTTAACTTAATTCGAAAATCTTCAAATGGCGGGAAAGGGAGGGCGGTACCAGGAGTGCCACCTGGTACCGCCCTCGGCACCCTTCATGCGGGTATAAATTTGGAGAGAAAGATTCATTTTGGTTGCTAGGCATATCATATCTGCTCATTCATATTTGTTTTGACCTCTTCCCTTACGCTTACGCTTTCAGAATCAGCGATTACGATTCGAGAATTAACGACTGGGAAATTTGCTGCGAATTAACGACGGGGAATTTGCTGCGAATGGATGGATGTGTACGTTATTCCGGTCACTTTCCAAGTGGATGGATGTGTACGTTATTCCGGTCCTTTTTGTCACTTTCGATTTTATTGCAGAAATTAATATTCCAGAGTAGTCATCATGCTTGCGTAAACAAACACCAACTCCAACTCAAGAACCGCAAGCAGAGGAAAACAATTGTACAACAATTGTACAATTTAGGAAAAATTCGACGAGTATTTGTACAATCGTGTGCTACATGCATATGCACTGCACTTAGATTGAATGCTGCCGTGAGCGACATAACGGAAATTGGAGAGAAAGGAGTCAGGCGCCCGGGATGACGAAAGGCACGAATATGTATATCTTTAGTTCGTGCTGTTTATCAAAACGACGATGTTTACCTACTCGATGACTCAATGAATGCTGTACATCTGAGTGCCGGTAATCAGCTCTTTTCCTCAGTTAGGGGAGCAGAACGAATGTTGTGAAACAAAACCAGAATACTTGTAAGGAACGAGCTAGCGTTTCCCGAACATTCTAATCGTATGAAGAATGTAATGGTGGAACATGCGCGATTCTACCAAGAACTGACGCAGTCCGGAGTTTTACAGCCTTCTTTGCAAAATGTGGAAAGAAACATGAATTAGGAAAAAAGAAGGAAGAGAAGGATAGTGATTCCGAAGGCGAATTTGGTCTGTCCAACTATCATGGCGAAGAACCATCCATCATTAATTCTTCCTTGTTACTTCTTATCTTATCGTAGGTGTCCGTACCTGGAATTGTGCGCCTCTCAGGGGAGGGGATGCGTGATATCTTGCTACTCTGGATATCTTTCCTATTCTATTTCGGTTATTTGAAGGTTCTCATACCCGGGTACTGCCATGCAAAATACAAAGTAGATTATAATTATTTTATGTGATCTTCTGGGGATCCCCATCGTTTTCAGAGTTATTTATCGCCTGAAAGAAACGCAGTGAAATTTTACTGAAGATAAACTACGGCACTGCTAAACCTGCTTTTGATAGGAGAATTGGAATCTGAAGACTGCGAATTTATCCTGAGTTCTCACTTATTTCCACTATTTCATTTTCATTTATAGGAAGATAGATGGTTTTGAAAATGACAGGTGATCGTCTGGGGTTCCCCACGAGATCATACCAAATAGTGAAATCTGATCTTGTACAGCAGTACCGTGGCAACTATTGAGCCAGGCATTAGGGTATGAGGACCTTCACAACCGAGATAGAGAAAGAAGAAGGAAAAATCTATAGTAGTGAGATATGTCGCATCCCCTCTCAGATCCCCTCATTGCGGGAATGTACGTGCATACGGGCGTACATAAAGCGGCAGCACCAACAACCTCGACAACGTGGGCAACCTCGGCAATCTTGACGAGGTTGCTCGCGGCAACCTATGGCCTTTCTTTAAAGTGCTTTGCAGACATTGTCTAGAAATGCTTGCCTGCCGTAGGGCTACATGCGTGATCTATGAGATCTATGAGTTTGCGGCGATTGTCACAAGGCCCACACCATAAACTAGAGTAGAAAATGGATTCACATTATTGAGGAGGTAACTTCTGATCTGATAGCAAGGCGTTTAACAGGCGAAAAGAAATCTCAGAAAACTATTGCAATGAACAATGGCTGTGATCTCATACGATCACGCCGGTACAGCCCTATACGAGGGAGGTAGGAAGTAGTGAGTAATGTGGATGATAGTGCAGATTGACATCGTGTCATTAATTTTTTGTCGCGTTCCGCCTTTACCTCTGCGGTTTCTTTACCATCTACTTTGATGATGTCTTTGACATTCTTTAGATCGTTCCATACATTATGTCAAAGGAAACTAACGCGGTCAAGGAGAAAGAAAGAAAAAGGCGTGTAAGTGATGGTGAGTTGCAAATCACCATAAAATTAGCTCGTAGACTGCATTTCCATTATCATTGCCAGCTCGTAATTCATTTGTTATAGAACTGAATGAGAATGATGATTTGAGCAAAAAAGGCTCGTGGGCGGCGGTAATGGCAGCTTCTGCTAATGCACCGAAGAAAATGGAACAAAAGAAGGAGCAGCCGGTGAGCCGTTTTTCACTGATTACAGGATGTACTGAGTGTTTGATTGTGAATAATTCTTTGGATTGTAATCTCTATCGGATATAATTCCATGGGTAATGCTGGATTCGACTTGGAATACGGTGCAGATATAGTCCGCTTCATATACGGTAAACAAGTTGAATCCAGCTTTACAAAATAGGCTAAACAAGTTGAATCCAGCTTTACAAAGTGGTATCTAAATATAGGCAAAAGACTTTTGGGACAGTATATGTATATACTATTATTATAAAATAAACAGATGGACTGTATTACATAATGGACAAATGGCTTTTCAGGTAGATGATGACAAGGACGAACTTCTGCGTGAACTAAAAAGAGCCACTTTGTATAACACTGTCGTTTTTGGTGGCGCCAAATTTCCGCTGTCAGGTATGCTATGTAAACTTAGCATGAGTCAAATTTGGAATGGCACGGTTGGGTCCATTAGTTCGCACGTTGCGTCATGCTTCGTATCTCGAGGCTTCGCAAGAGTGAAGACCTTTGGAGAAGTTGTTTTGAAAAATTCTGAGAAGGCAGTTGGAGATTCCAGAAATGTATTTCAGCCATCGGCCCGGCGATTTTCGTTGTGTTTTGCAATAAAATCAAAGTTGATGTAAACGCCTCAATGGTTCGTCGCGTGGAACCCCTAAAGGATGGATCAGTTCTTGTCGACTTCGTCGATATTCTTGATAGAAACTCTGTCCTTGTGCGTCTCAGAGAGAAGGCTCAACAAGGAGTGTGAGTTCAAGTACTACCAAATAACCGCATTAAAATTTTTTTCAGGCTTCCGCCAACATTTTTCGCACGTCGACATCCCCTTTGGGGTCCAGGTGAGTCTTTAGCGAAGATTTATCATGATCTTAATGTGAAATTCAGAAGCTCCTGATTTTCAAGAGATCCTACCTTTTGTTGTAGAGACTGAGCCGGGTCCAAGCAGACCTACGGGTGAGTGGTTTAACTTCATAACAGTAGCTGTTTTTATGTATTATTTCTTGTAGCATTCAATGATCGCGTTAACTTCATCCAAGAAATGTTCATGAAAGGCGAAATTGGTAGGTATCGATTTATACTTGAGGGGATTTATTTTTGCATAATAAATTTCAGATAAGGGGACGGCGACGAAATTTTTTGCTGCTATGCTGCGCGACAAAGAGTGACAGAACATGGTGAAGATCCTGCGATTGCAATTCTTTGCGATACTTTTATACTATGCTTTTATGCTTCAACATCATGCTTTGCTTTTTTTCTGATCTTATTTACAGCGTGTTTGAAGAGTGGCTTGGCTTTTTGGCTTTCTTTTTTCTACTGCGATTCATCACTCGATTTATGCGGCATGGAATACCAACACTAAAAAAATGCTATCTCATACAAATCTGGAGCATTTTTTGTTTATCTGGAGGAAGATGTGTCTTGAAAAGGACCGAATCGGCTCGAAATTGCGAAAACCGTTGACAAAAGCAAACATTTATATTCGATAGAACCGTATGCTGATAACTTAGCATATTAATGTGGTGAGACGTGACATGAAAGAGAGATCGAAAGTTTGACAAAATTGTAGTCTATACAGCAGCACGTCTCTAACAGATTATGACAGAAAATAATTGCCAAGAAGCAGATGCGGTCATGAGTTTCCAGGTGTGAGCGACAGCAATAAAAATATTTGTGTTTATTCAGAGAAGTGGTTGTGCTTGTACGAAAACTTTCACTGGAAAGCGTTCCAAACAAAAAAACACTTCTTGACCGATCATATTACTTTACATCAGAGTCAAGACTGGTATATGAAAATCATAATCAAAAGCAGTCCAAGAAATTCTCCGTATACGTCGAAATTTGAGGAACTGCAACCCTTTGGTTGAATCTTATCACTCCAGGGTTACCTTTTTTGTATATTGTCTATCTTGGATAATTCTACTTTTTACGAAAGAAGAGCGGAGAAAAGTTAATTGTGCCACCGGAGATTGAAACTACAAATTACCCATATAATATCATGTTTAGCTGATGTACTTGGCGACAATGTAAGTGCTCGAGATAGACATCGAATTGTATGAAGCTCGTATTCTAGGGTCCATTCAATTTTTGTCGAGGATTGGCTTCTTTGATAGATTACATCAATCACAAAAGAGCATCTTCTTCTTTGCAATCAAAAAGCATTTCAGTGACTTTGAAGAAAAGGTGACGCTTCTTCTACCATACAAGCAATTCCGTCAGAAAAATTGAGGTAAACAAGAACGTTTCTTGGGAAAGTACGAGCTGTAGAAAATCATCGTTGCCTACATCGAAAATTGACATAAGCAATCGAAAATTGACATGAGCAATGACTGACTGGTCATAAACTCCTTAGCAGATTCAACTAGATTTTGCAGTGAGACTTGCAAATATGGAATGACAACTTCTCAATTCGCTTGGCTATGATCGTGTCAAGTCCTTTGCACGTACCAAAAAATACTTATCGTTCTGGACTAAAGTAAACATTTTTTTTTGATTAAATTACGTTGAATATGCAGTTCGATTATCTGATAGTGTGGTATAACACAAAGGCGATGCCCAGGCAAGTCTGAGTACGTGGGGCAGATGCTGGTTGGGGCATGACTGAGCCTATCCGAACAGAACTCATATGTCTTGTTCGCGAAATTCATCTTTCATCATCCGGATACTGTCTTGGGCAAGATTTTAGCCGTGAGGTTACAGAGGAAGATTAGATGGAAAAAAGTGCAGTTGAGGGAAGAATGGAAGGGCGATTTAGAGAGGGGGGACAAAAATATTGATAAATGTGTGGAAGTACTGGACTGCGAATTAGTTTCGCTTGGCGCAGTTCCAGGTAAGTGCTTTTGAAGAACCAGTAAAAGTTGCTGATGCAAAATGATGCTGCGAATATTCCAATTTTCAAGCATAATAATGATCAGGCAAATTTAAAGATATGTTTTCTTATGTGGTAGGTGATTGGGAGACCTTTATTTTAAGCCGCTGATCAAGAAGCACTTCATGAGATCCATCAAAATCGCAAAGTTTAACACCAAATTCGCGTTCAGTATCGCATTCCTTCTACTCGGACCAATCAGCGCCTTTAGGTACAGCACTGGGCGTGAGTTTGAAGTTAAATTACTCGGTAACAAAAACATCATATGAGCTGCCGCTTAGGCATTGTTTCAATTTGGGCCTATATGATTAACAGGTATATCTCTCATTTCCATACATCGAAAATAATTCCGAAACAAGAAAATCTCTCGCAAGTTACATTATGGGTTCCAAATTTCAACAGTAATGCATACTTTCTTCCAATTACTTTGATTGTTAAAGGTGGAACCGCTTTCCAATAGGATGCTGTCCAATTTAGAACATTTGAGGACTAAACTTTGAACGAACGTGTGGCTTTCACCAATCAAAACTTAATAAATTACTCACTTAACTTACTCATTCACTCACTTCAGGATGTTTATGGTGAACGAGTGAGTGGAAACGGACACAGAGATCCTGCATCTACTAAGTACAGCGACTATAGGGAATTCGAAAGCAAACGGGAAGAAAAGGCATAGAAAGGAGCGAGAAAATAGTCTAAAGGACCATATTCGGGTTGGAGGCAAGTAGTTAGAAAATGAGCTGATTTTGAAGAATCTTTACATTCTCGCTAGCACATTTCCCTTCCAGTAAATAAAAGGAAGGAAAGCTCAGTAGAAAGGCTTTGTCTTACAGAAAATTTCGAAAAGGAAGAAAAGAAGCTGACAAATTTCTGAAAGCCTCAGCTCGTATGGTTTTGACAGATGAAAATGAAAAAGATTACAAACGGCAAGTGTTCATGAAAAGAATGTGCTCATTCGGAATATCGTATTGAAAATTCTCAACGGATAACGGATCCTTTTTGAAGGGCAAATCTTTGCTAGCACGTGTTGATTCGTGTAGTGAACTGGAGTAGAGAAGGGTCTAAGAAGATAGGGTTGCAGCGGAGGAATTCTTATCAAAACGTTTCTAATGTATTATCATTGAGACGCGTTAGCAATAAATGAGTGAATATTTGATGGTACTTCTGTCTGAAGCGGAGAATCCTACCTGATCCTACCTTTTGTTGTAGAGACTGAGCCGGGTCCAAGCAGACCTACGGGTGAGTGGTTTAACTTCATAACAGTAGCTGTTTTTATGTATTATTTCTTGTAGCATTCAATGATCGCGTTAACTTCATCCAAGAAATGTTCATGAAAGGCGAAATTGGTAGGTATCGATTTATACTTGAGGGGATTTATTTTTGCATAATAAATTTCAGATAAGGGGACGGCGACGAAATTTTTTGCTGCTATGCTGCGCGACAAAGAGTGACAGAACATGGTGAAGATCCTGCGATTGCAATTCTTTGCGATACTTTTATACTATGCTTTTATGCTTCAACATCATGCTTTGCTTTTTTTCTGATCTTATTTACAGCGTGTTTGAAGAGTGGCTTGGCTTTTTGGCTTTCTTTTTTCTACTGCGATTCATCACTCGATTTATGCGGCATGGAATACCAACACTAAAAAAATGCTATCTCATACAAATCTGGAGCATTTTTTGTTTATCTGGAGGAAGATGTGTCTTGAAAAGGACCGAATCGGCTCGAAATTGCGAAAACCGTTGACAAAAGCAAACATTTATATTCGATAGAACCGTATGCTGATAACTTAGCATATTAATGTGGTGAGACGTGACATGAAAGAGAGATCGAAAGTTTGACAAAATTGTAGTCTATACAGCAGCACGTCTCTAACAGATTATGACAGAAAATAATTGCCAAGAAGCAGATGCGGTCATGAGTTTCCAGGTGTGAGCGACAGCAATAAAAATATTTGTGTTTATTCAGAGAAGTGGTTGTGCTTGTACGAAAACTTTCACTGGAAAGCGTTCCAAACAAAAAAACACTTCTTGACCGATCATATTACTTTACATCAGAGTCAAGACTGGTATATGAAAATCATAATCAAAAGCAGTCCAAGAAATTCTCCGTATACGTCGAAATTTGAGGAACTGCAACCCTTTGGTTGAATCTTATCACTCCAGGGTTACCTTTTTTGTATATTGTCTATCTTGGATAATTCTACTTTTTACGAAAGAAGAGCGGAGAAAAGTTAATTGTGCCACCGGAGATTGAAACTACAAATTACCCATATAATATCATGTTTAGCTGATGTACTTGGCGACAATGTAAGTGCTCGAGATAGACATCGAATTGTATGAAGCTCGTATTCTAGGGTCCATTCAATTTTTGTCGAGGATTGGCTTCTTTGATAGATTACATCAATCACAAAAGAGCATCTTCTTCTTTGCAATCAAAAAGCATTTCAGTGACTTTGAAGAAAAGGTGACGCTTCTTCTACCATACAAGCAATTCCGTCAGAAAAATTGAGGTAAACAAGAACGTTTCTTGGGAAAGTACGAGCTGTAGAAAATCATCGTTGCCTACATCGAAAATTGACATAAGCAATCGAAAATTGACATGAGCAATGACTGACTGGTCATAAACTCCTTAGCAGATTCAACTAGATTTTGCAGTGAGACTTGCAAATATGGAATGACAACTTCTCAATTCGCTTGGCTATGATCGTGTCAAGTCCTTTGCACGTACCAAAAAATACTTATCGTTCTGGACTAAAGTAAACATTTTTTTTTGATTAAATTACGTTGAATATGCAGTTCGATTATCTGATAGTGTGGTATAACACAAAGGCGATGCCCAGGCAAGTCTGAGTACGTGGGGCAGATGCTGGTTGGGGCATGACTGAGCCTATCCGAACAGAACTCATATGTCTTGTTCGCGAAATTCATCTTTCATCATCCGGATACTGTCTTGGGCAAGATTTTAGCCGTGAGGTTACAGAGGAAGATTAGATGGAAAAAAGTGCAGTTGAGGGAAGAATGGAAGGGCGATTTAGAGAGGGGGGACAAAAATATTGATAAATGTGTGGAAGTACTGGACTGCGAATTAGTTTCGCTTGGCGCAGTTCCAGGTAAGTGCTTTTGAAGAACCAGTAAAAGTTGCTGATGCAAAATGATGCTGCGAATATTCCAATTTTCAAGCATAATAATGATCAGGCAAATTTAAAGATATGTTTTCTTATGTGGTAGGTGATTGGGAGACCTTTATTTTAAGCCGCTGATCAAGAAGCACTTCATGAGATTCATCAAAATCGCAAAGTTTAACACCAAATTCGCGTTCAGTATCGCATTCCTTCTACTCGGACCAATCAGCGCCTTTAGGTACAGCACTGGGCGTGAGTTTGAAGTTAAATTACTCGGTAACAAAAACATCATATGAGCTGCCGCTTAGGCATTGTTTCAATTTGGGCCTATATGATTAACAGGTATATCTCTCATTTCCATACATCGAAAATAATTCCGAAACAAGAAAATCTCTCGCAAGTTACATTATGGGTTCCAAATTTCAACAGTAATGCATACTTTCTTCCAATTACTTTGATTGTTAAAGGTGGAACCGCTTTCCAATAGGATGCTGTCCAATTTAGAACATTTGAGGACTAAACTTTGAACGAACGTGTGGCTTTCACCAATCAAAACTTAATAAATTACTCACTTAACTTACTCATTCACTCACTTCAGGATGTTTATGGTGAACGAGTGAGTGGAAACGGACACAGAGATCCTGCATCTACTAAGTACAGCGACTATAGGGAATTCGAAAGCAAACGGGAAGAAAAGGCATAGAAAGGAGCGAGAAAATAGTCTAAAGGACCATATTCGGGTTGGAGGCAAGTAGTTAGAAAATGAGCTGATTTTGAAGAATCTTTACATTCTCGCTAGCACATTTCCCTTCCAGTAAATAAAAGGAAGGAAAGCTCAGTAGAAAGGCTTTGTCTTACAGAAAATTTCGAAAAGGAAGAAAAGAAGCTGACAAATTTCTGAAAGCCTCAGCTCGTATGGTTTTGACAGATGAAAATGAAAAAGATTACAAACGGCAAGTGTTCATGAAAAGAATGTGCTCATTCGGAATATCGTATTGAAAATTCTCAACGGATAACGGATCCTTTTTGAAGGGCAAATCTTTGCTAGCACGTGTTGATTCGTGTAGTGAACTGGAGTAGAGAAGGGTCTAAGAAGATAGGGTTGCAGCGGAGGAATTCTTATCAAAACGTTTCTAATGTATTATCATTGAGACGCGTTAGCAATAAATGAGTGAATATTTGATGGTACTTCTGTCTGAAGCGGAGAATTTATTCAGTGCACTAATTGCGATTCCAAATAGTGAGGCAAGTCTTACATGCAATAAGCCTCCTGTGTCTAAAAAAAATTTCAGACTATATTTCTGCTGGCTTCACATCACTTCCTCATTAGGCTCGGTTGCCGGGTGTTTTTATAAGAACATGACACAAGCGCTTCACAAGGCAAATGCAAGATATCATACAAGTTTGATAGAATGCAATGATAGCGCTTCATTAGAAAAGGTTACTCTTTTGTGTGCTTTCGAGGAGTTGGGTCTTTTGTGGAAAATCTCGTCAAGCAAAGATGTTTGGAAAAATCAACGCTGATCTGCGTTTCATATTCGCATGAAAAAACAGATAGTCTTTAATTAGCAGCATTTGTTCAATGATGTACAAGTTTATCTGAACCAGTATGCAGGTATAAATGACGTAGGTTTCAACAAGTTGAAAATGTCCCCTCCTAGCAAAGTCGTAATGAGAAGTGATGCAGCATACATGAAATAAACGATAGCTAAACTTTTGTGTGTGTGTGTGTGTGTGTGTGTGTGTGTGTGTGTGTGTGTGTGTGTGTGTGTGTGTGTGTGTGTGTGTGTGTGTGTGTGTGTGTGTGTGTGTGTGTGTGTGTGTGTGTGTGTGTGTGTGTGTGTGTGTGTGTGTGTGTGTGTGTGTGTGTGTGTGTGTGTGTGTGTGTGTGTGTGTGTGTGTGTGTGTGTGTGTGTGTGTGTGTGTGTGTGTGTGTGTGTGTGTGTGTGTGTGTGTGTGTGTGTGTGTGTGTGTGTGTGTGTGTGTGTGTGTGTGTGTGTGTGTGTGTGTGTGTGTGTGTGTGTGTGTGTGTGTGTGTGTGTGTGTGTGTGTGTGTGTGTGTGTGTGTGTGTGTGTGTGTGTGTGTGTGTGTGTGTGTGTGTGTGTGTGTGTGTGTGTGTGTGTGTGTGTGTGTGTGTGTGTGTGTGTGTGTGTGTGTGTGTGTGACGCATTTAGGTGCGATCATCGCCGAGGAAATCGCTGCTGTTTAGGATATGCTGTTGTTACGTACACTTCTGTCATATTTGTATTATAAATAATATATATTAGATACCATAATAGATTATATTAGATATCATTACAATGTAGTATATATCATATGTATTCATCTGTTTACCGCATGAAAGATAATAAAGATTGAAATTAAGATTGTTTTCTGTTTCAACTCCGATCTAGCGGTTTCTTATTCTCTACACTGCATGGCTTTTGTGTATACTATACTTTCTTGTGTTTAGATTTTAATTTCAGCATTCCCCTGTCGTCCATACCATCTAGACGAAGGGAGAAGCCGCGATACAAATTTGAGCAAATAAATTATTGAAATAAGTACTGTTTTCATAATAACAGTTTGCTGTGAGCAACCGGCAAACTTGGTCGGAAAAAGTAAGAAAAAATTTTTTTTGTGATAGTTGCGGTGAGGTGGCGATTAGGGAAAGTGACGAAGAATAATAATAAATAGAGAGGAAAAGCTCAATTGGAGTCCTATAATAATAAATAGAGAGGAAAAGTTCAATTGGAATCGTATAAAGAGAAAAATTCTCAATTGGAGTTGTATAGAGAGAAAAAAAAGTCGAATCGGAGTCATAAGTGTAAAAATTTATAGCATATACCTACTGTATAGAGGCGGATCACCAAACTATCAAATTTGGTTGTAAGGAAGTTGTCGCAGTGGTGAATGAACGTAATTTTTACAATTATTGATTCAAGTCTTGGTATGATCCTAGATAAATGAAATGTCAAGTGCAAACAATGTTGCATCAAATAATGTAATTGCTGCAGGGAAAATTATGTATATATGTGGGAGCAACACATTGAAACATTGTAGTTTAAGAGAGAACTTTTTGAACGATTTGTACAATGGTTTGATGCTAAGTGGAGAAGTGATGTACGCATACTATGCGGTGGTGTCTTTGCTGTCGAGAGCAAGTGTAGCGTTAGATACCAACATCTGTGTAGTGAGACACAAGATATGTAGTTTTCCTTTAGAGGCAGAAAAGAAAGCTATACTGGCTTTTCACATGCATGGGAATCATTGGGTATTTACAGTCTTTGATATGGGTAGTGGGAGCATAGTTCTTTATGATTCACTTGCCCATACTTACGATTATGATCCAAACAGCTTAGATCGTGGAGTGAGAGAAGGACTTCTCAAGATATGGAATCAGATCACTGACATAAGTCTAAATTCAATAGAGATTGCTGGGCCTGATTGTGTTCATGAGCAAAGCGATGGAGTTAATTGTGGAGTATATGCATGTATATATGCGGAAAGGTTTTGCGCTAATATTCACACAAAACTGGAGAGCTGCTTCACACAGGAGCAACTGCGGGAGTGTAGAATAACCTTGTATAACGAGTTAAGGAAGTATTATTACGTTATTACTAGCACTGATAGCGATTGTGAAAATGACTTATACTTAAATCTGCCAAGAATGATAGAGTATAGAGTGTATGACGAACGAAGATTGGTATTTGTGTGTGAGACTTCTATATTGCATACGTTTGGAGAGTGCACGCAGTCAAATTTGAGACAATATGCAGATAGCTTGCAAGGCTCTGCGAACGTGGATAGAGGCCATAAAAATTTGCACAGCAGACAGGAGGTATTCAAAATGTCTTTTCCACAAGAATTGCTATCAGGAGGAAATGTGGGCTATCTAGATGAAAGGGATGAGTTTAAAAACTGTGCATTGCCGCGGAGCGATTTTGAATGTCTTGAAGGGGATCACTGGTTAGATGATGAGACTTTGTTTGCGTATATGATTCTTGTGGCTGCGTTGCACGAGAATGTTGTTCCTCTGGATCCCATAATAAAGTTATGTTCAAGAGATGCTGAGAATTCAAAATCTTCGTTGTATCCAATGCAAGGTCAGCAGTTGGGAATTTTACCATTTTTGGTCAATGACAACCATTGGGTGCTTATGACCCTTGACATTGAGAAAGAATGTGCGAAAATTTATGACAGTCTCGCGTATACGCGTCGGTATACCCTATCTATTGAAGTGCAAGAAAGTATACGTAATGTTTGGATGTACTTAACTGATAAACCATTGGGATCTATCGAGATCGCGAATGAAGATGAGGTGCACCAGCAGGACGATGGATTCAACTGTGGTGTTTACGTATGTTTATATGCGACGAGATTGTGCATGGATATGAGAACAAAGCTTGAATCGGTCATAAGCGCAAAGCAGCTGTCAGCGCTGCGATTGAAAATTCTTGAAGTACTGTTGAGTTTCTATAAAGTAAGTGACCCTGATGATGCTCAGCAAATTGAACTTCCTCGTATGTACGATGCAAGCTATGATGCCAATCGTATTCGTATTAGTTTTGGTAGTCATCGTCAGGATGTATCTGAAGTGATGGTGATTGAAGAGGTCAGCGATATATATCCCAAGAAACGGCCTATGGATTATGACCAAGAAGGATCTGAAGACATGGAGATTGAAGAAATCAGTGAAATATATTCTGAGAAAAGGCCCAAGTATAGCAGGAACGGATTCAAAAAAGATGGTGATTTGGCAGCTTCTGAGTGTACATCGACAAGCGGAAAGAAAAAGTGCGCGTTGAATGAGGTGACGATAGCTTATGAGGAGTTGTCCAAACTAATCTCTGATTTTTTTCGAAATCTGTTCAGAACTGAAGCGTCGCAAGTGATCTATGTTGATAAAGTTGCAAATATAGTAGTGAATGGTGAGTTACCGGAAAGGCGTGGTAAACCAAGAACTATAGTAATACTTTATTATAACGTGAGCCATCGCCTGGCGATGTGTATTGTTAGAAAAGTAAAGTGCGGTTTGCGTGGAGAAGTATTTGATGATGTAGCGACTTCTATCAGTAGAGAACTACGTCAGTCGCTGTTAGCAACATGCAAGTTGTACAGCAGCAAAAGAGTGAAATTTGCTTTGTATCATCCTTCTCAAGTTAATGAGGAGTCTAGAACGAGGTCTATGTTTCTGATAGCGTGCGAGATTGCACAGCATCTTGCCACTGATGAAGAGTATCGCCCTGAAACAACTGATGTAGCAGATTTTTTCGCGGAAATTGCTCGTTCTGAGAGAGGTGAAGTTAGCCTTGTAAAAGCCATGAAAGAATGTTTTTTTGAGAATCATGCCCGAGAGACGAAAAAATCTAAGAATGTCTCAGAGACGACCTCTAAGACTAAAACAGGTCGCAAGCGCAAACCGAAGGAATTATTGTTTAATGTTGCGCGTCTTAACGAAACATTACCTGAGATGTACACATTAGGGGAAATGAGTGAGATGTGTAAGTGCTGTAACGCTAAATACTTTGGTAGTGAACCCATGACCATATGTTGTAATACAGGTTTAAACATAGTGCCCGAAACGATTTTCAAATGCGAACGAGACGAATTATTGTCATGGTTTTGGGATATTGCACTCTACAACAGGGATGTATTTAAAATGTTACGTCCAATCAACAATATGTTGTCTTGTGCTGGAATCAACATAAAGCTTAAAGAATTTGATACACGTTGCGGACCTGTGCCGTTGGTTTTGCAAGGAAAATATCAAATGGGTATTTGTCATTTGAATGAGGACGAGGAAGAAGAGAGTAAACCTTGTTTTGCTCAAATATACGTGGCAGATGACCACAAGGTGCAGAAGGTAATTGATGATAGTATTCAGCGCTGGGGAGGAAAGATTGATAGCAGTATACTCAAACGTTTGATTGACACTTTAAAAGAAAACAATGCTATTGTGCGCTCTTACATGACGATGTACGAGGTATACCAAATGGCACAGGCGAAATTCAAGGAGTTGGGCATCAACAGTGTCCCACAAGTCATGATGAATGTCAAACAAAAAAGGGACGTTCCTGAAGCATTGTCTAGAGATGTTCATCCGGGTACTATTACAAAACCTGTTTTTGAAAACCAAGTTGCAGCAATTTTTTTGTGTAAGGATGGCAATATGCCAACACATGAAGAGCTTGACGCAGGTGTTCGTGTGTACTGTAGAGGAAGTGGTGGCGTAGTTCCACATTATAGCAATAATGTGGATGCGTTTAGTTACGTCCTTTTATTTCCCCGTGGCGAGCAAACTTTCGTTAAAGATCGTCTTCCTAAAGGTATCAAGGCAAAAAGGATGGGTCGCGATATGAATGAGGATGGTGGCGACGTTCATGTTGGCAAAGGCGGTAATGAAGAAAATTCAGATGAAGAAAGTTCTGACGGTCTAGAAGCTGTAGAAGAGGAAATCGGCGCAAATATAGCTACTTCTCGAGTGAAAAATAGTAAACGAAAATTTTTGTCGCGACGGGAGTTTGCTGTTTATATCATGGCCCGAAGGGGAGATGTGGGAAAACATCGTATTTTGGGAATGGGTAAACTTTGCTCCCAATACATATTACATATGTACACGAGAATTGAAGCCGATCGTATGGCATCAATTAGAAGAAACTGCTTTGAGCTTAGGAGTACGACTGCGAGTTCTCTTTATAAGTATACAGATCAAAAGTTGCAGGAGAAAGGATACAAACTTGGTAAGCTTGTGACTATGCCGTCTAACTACGTTGGAAGTAGGAGATGGTCGCAAATGCAATATTCAAGAGGCATGGCTGTTGCGCAGAGGTTGGGAAAACCTGATCTATTTATCACTTTCACAGGCAACAGTGAATGGCCAGAGATTGTAAAAAATTTACCGACCAAATTTGACAACTGGATTACGGATCCTATGTTATGTGTCCGAGTGTTCCATACTAAGCTTAGGCATCTTATGAAAGAGTTGAAAGAAGGTAAGATCTTTGGAGAAGTTTTGGCATATCAAGTATCAGTTGAATTTCAACAGCGAGGAATGCCTCACGCTCATATTCTTGTAACTTTAGCGTCGAAATTTGAAGATCCGGAAGATGTTGACAGATGTGTCTCTGCAACCATTCCTCCAGCTCCCAAAAGGAATGAGGATGATTATGATGCAAAACGAAAACTACGCAATTACGTGGGAAAATTTATGATACATGGTCCCTGTGTGGGGCGAAAAGAGTTAACATGTCGTCAGAGAGATCCTAATGTCTGTGATAAACATTTTCCTAAAGCGTTTCGCGATGAGACTGAAATATCTGAGAATGGATATCCTTTGTATAAGCGTCCAGATGACGGAAGCTACGTTGCTGTGGGGCGCATGAAACGAACACTAGCTAGCAATGCAGATGTGGTCCCTTATAATAAGTGGCTATTGTCTAGATATAACTGTCATATGAATGTGGAAATCTGTTCTAGCCTAAGGTCTTATAAGTATATTTATAAGTATATATATAAAGGAGTTGACCAAGTACTACTAGAAATACTGGCTGACGAACATTTGCTAAAGAAATGCAAGCGAATTGATGCAAATGGTGATGAGGTTGTGGATGTTGATATGTCCGAAGTATACCTTCGATGTCGTATTCTTTCTCACCTAGAAGCGGCTTATAAAATCTGTGGGTATCAGTTGCAAATGTGTTCACATACTGTTGTATTTCTTCAACCTCATTTGGAGAATGAAAGCTTGGTTTACTTCTGTGCAGGAAAGAAAATTGAAAGAACGTTCACGGAGAAATCACCACTTTTAGCATATTTTCGTCTTTGTTCTGAAAATGCCAAAGCTAAAAACATGACATGGATTGAGGTAGCGGAGCACTTTATTTATCGTAAAGATCGTGGAGTCTACGAGGAAAGGAAAAGGAATTGTAATGTTATTGCTCGTATAAACTCTGTCAGCCCCAAACTCAGTGAGCTTTATGCTCTGAGGAAAATACTACTCGTGAGAAAAGGACCAACTTCTTTTGCAGACTTAAGAACAGTGGTTGGCACTCTTTATGATACTTTCGTGGATGCCGCTAGAGCAGCTGGACTTATTCAAGACGCAACAGAGTGGGATTCATGTTTGGATGCTGCAGTTACAACGGATATGCCGAGAGATATTAGAAAACTATTTGCACAAATTCTAATGCACTGCCATCCTCCAAACCCACTGTTTCTGTGGAATAAGTACAAAAAAGAAATGCGTGCAAGGAGAAATGTAGATTCTGAGAAGATGGCTGACGAGTTAGACGCAGCCTCATTAAGACATATAAGAAAGATTTTAGAGGCCAATGGATTTAGCTTGCGTGATTGTGGGCTTTCCACCTTGCAGTTGGAAAGCGAATTTATAGGAGAAAGTTCCGAGATAGACGAACTTGATACGGATCAGGCGGCACCTTCAGAGCCAAGCAAAGAACTGAGTGTGGAACAGATGCGCATTATGGATATATTGATGACGGAGGCTTTGCAGAGAAAGAGTACGAGAAAACGTTGTTTCTTTGTGTATGGAAAAGCGGGCTGTGGTAAAACATTTTTATTTCGGAAGTTTATCGAGAATCTTCGTGCTCATGGAAGAAATGTGATTGCAGTTGCTTCAACTGGTATAGCAGCAACATTACTGCAGGATGGACGTACTGCTCATAGTGCTTTTCACCTGCCGGTTTCGGGGCTGTCTGCTGAAAGTACTGCAAACGTCGAAGCCTCATCATTATTGGCGCAACAATTCCGTAATACGGATGTTATTGTATGGGACGAGATCTCTATGCAAACGAAATATGCAGTTGAGTGTGCCGAGAAAATGTTGAGAGATGTTGCGAGTTTGCCATTGCGAAAAACAGCTTTTGGTGGCATAATGATAGTTTTTGGAGGTGATTGGGCACAGTTTCTACCGGTTGTTGAAAATGGGACTAAACCGGAGATCTTGAATCAAACGCTGAAGTATAGTGGACTTTGGAAATTGATGGATGTACTGACATTAGAAACGAATATGCGTGTTTTACCTGGAAACGAAGAGTTTGCTGGATGGCTAAGAAGAGTTGGTGAAGGGCACAATCTTCTTGAGCGTAGCCTTATTCGAATCCCAAAATCGATGGTGATTCCTAAGGAGAAGGAGTTAATTGACTGGCTGTATACACCAGAAGTCATTGAAGATCTGCAGCAACTGTCGAATGTTGCACTGTTGAGTATTCGTAACGATGATGTGCTGAGTATAAACAACATGATTGTGGAAAAGCTGAGAGGTGAGTGCATAGACGCTTATGGTGTAGATGAATCTGTGCAAGAAGAAGACGGTATTGACGGTTTACCTTATGACGATGAAGAAGATATCCATCGTGAAACACCTCCGGGTATCCCACCCTACCTGTTAAGATTGAAAAAAGGATGCATCTTGATGCTGTTGCGTAATATTGACATCACGTCACAAATGTGTAATGGAACACGTCTCCAACTTTTGGATGTAGAGTACAATCAAAGGAACATTCCAATTATGCTGCGGTGCATGAACCTTATCTCTAATAAGCCGTGCGTGGTCTCGCGTATGCAGAACGAGTATGAGAATAAAATGTCAGGAATAGCTTTTAAAAGATTCCAGTTCCCAGTTCGTCTGTCATTCTGTATGACCGTCAATAAAAGTCAGGGTCAGACTTTTGACAAGGTTGGTTTGATTTTGCGTACTCCTGCGTTTGCTCACGGTACTATTTATGTGGCGCTTTCGCGAGTAAAATGTGGAGATAACATTAAAGTTACAACTTCGGGAAAGTGTGAGACTTTAGATAATGGAGACATTCTAATTCGTAATGTGGTTTACCGTGAGATTCTCTGAGTGAGGCTAGATGTGTCTGTGTAATTAGCTATCTGTGTCATCTCCACGCAAAATAAGAAGTTCATCTGCGAAATTCGAAGATTATAGTAGAGCATGCTGAGCAGAGACCTAAGAGAAGATTTAGTAGACGTAGGTATGTGATAGTGAAAGAAGCTTTGGAGAATGATTAGATGAGAAACAAATAAACATAGGTCTGTGCAAGTGGCGGATCCATTTTTCCGTCGCACAATACGCGCCGCGTCGCGAAGGCATCGCCACATTTGTCCCATAATGTATGTGATATTATAGTCCACACACAAATGGTTCTGAATCTTACCCAAACTAGATATAGAATGAGTTGAAAAGATTTGTATCTAGATAAGATCAGACATGATAGAATAGGAGACAGAACTTGATTAAGGTAAAAATTCAGTGTGAAGAAGAGGGTATGCTTAGCTGTGACGTGGCGTAAGGACTTCGCAATGCAAAAGTGTAAGCGCTTGACTTAAGAGAAAGGAGTGCGTTATTGACTCAGTAAAATGGTAGTACGGATGTTTTATGTATCACTCGGATGTTTCTGAATTGTCATAGGCCATCTCTCGTAGTTTGGACCATGATGAGACTTTTGATGAGGATTAGCGCGACAATACTTATAATAAGAAATGAAAGAACTGGTGAGGTTTGAGTACCACAGCGTCAAAATTCAAGGAGTGAATCGTGTTCCGTAGTAGTCGTATGATGTGTAAATAACAAGCAATCATAGAATGTATTACTAATTATTAGATTGTAGAAAAATTTCAGGTACATTGTATAGGAACTCATTCTCAACGTTTGTAAGGACCATGAGTTGCCTCAGGAACATGATCTTTATGCAAAAATATTTTCGATGTGATTTGATAATTTACTTGATGTGATGTGATATATACATTTTCCCTTCCTTCCTCCCATTTCGAAAATAAAATTTTTCAAAACCTTGCGACTTGTTGTGCACATGTATAATCGTGTATTACTTAATACATTTGTCTTTTATTACTGTGGTGTACAGAATAGCGCAATCGAGCTAACCTAGATGGAACTAAGAGACGATTTTTTTGACGCGGATTCCTTCGATGAATATCCGTGGAACATGAGTAAGGAAGCTCAACTTGACTATTATCGTGTAAGTTATGTTCATTATGCAGTAGCTTGTGTCCTGAATATTCACTACGCTCGATGAATTGAACGGAGTTGATACTCAAGAAACAAGCTATCCTAACAGTATTAGGTTGAAATTCCCCATGCTACCACTACAGCATACATTTCCCAGCCCATCAGCAGCAATATGTTTTCAGTCTAAAAAGCGATGGATACTTGGTCAAGTGGCGTTTCCATATGAGAGGTATACATCTTATACACGAAACGCTGATTTAAAACCGACCTTCGGTATCTGCAAAGCGCTTCTGGGAGGGGAGTTATGGAGATTTTTTGATCCGAATATTTAAAAGCGCAGCTACAATAATATCATCAAATGGGGCCATGATTACTATCAGGGCGTTTTATGAAAATAAAGCCCTTTGTTCTGATAAACTCATGTCAGTCATTGCTTTTCTCAAGCACCGTAAAGACCTCAACACAAATTTTATCTTAGCCGAATCATTAAATTTTTACCTCAAAAAATTCCCAAACTCCCCTTCCAAATACGCTTTGCAGACACCGAAAGCACACTTGGAATCATCAACGTTTCATGCTCTATAAGATTGTATACTTCTCATATGGAAACGCCACTTCGAAAGGTATCCCTCCCCTTTAGGTGTCCTCTTACCTCCGCTCAATAAAATCCATTTTCCCGTGATAATGTTCATAGATGGTGTTAGTTTCGAATTTTGCTCATCTACATTGAAATTCCACCTTTCCTAGCACACATGCTGCCAACAACCAATGAAATGTACTGAAGCGACTGATAATCCCTTTGCTATACCCTGATTATTGAGTAGATTATTAAGTAGATATAAACAGAACAAAAAATCAACTTATTAATTGATTGATCAGAATATACACCCGGTATATTTCTTGGGTCATCGTGTACACCATATGCAAGATAAACTTAAGTGCTAAAAAGAACTTTTCAGTTCTGTCAGATGCGAAGCGTCTACAGATCGTTGTGCAAAGCAGACAGGAAGATCTTTAAAAATTATTGCTTAGAAGCGGAAAGTTCCAGAAAGACAGAGGTAAGAAGTTCAGCCGTATTATAATCTAATTTTTTAATATTTTAGAAAACACATAAAGTTAATTATTACAGATCGAGATGAAAATCCAAAGGCGAAAAGAACACGTAAGTTTCTAGAAATAGTGGTGCGCACAAGTGCAGTGTTTGAGTATGCTTAAGGTATGATTTCAGTTCTGGAGCGATTCAAGAATTAAAGAGTGGATAATGAAAGGGAATGCATCAGCAGCTCCTGCGGAGGCTAAAGGTAATACGATTTCCAAATTGGGTTCTAGATGATGCTCCAAATTTCGATTACATATTTGGAAACAATGTTAACCGCGAATCAGCACGGTTAGCCCCTCCGCCCGCGCCAGTCTTACCTCCAAGTTCGCCAAAAAATTGCTCAAAGGTGTTTGATGGTGCCGCACTGACCGCACTAACTGTACTGACTGCAGCAGCCACAGATATTAGATTATACTGATTTTATCAAAAACAACGAGATTGGGCGTAATTTACTAGGTTTTGACCGTGACTGCGGCCTTTTGTTGGTTTTAGGTGCTCGGGCGCTGTGTCTGCTGCTGCTGCAGTCAGCACGGTCAGTGCAGTCAGCTGCAACATGTAACCCTTGGATTGACGGACGACAAATTGAATAACGATTCCGTAATCCTAATGATCATTGACGCCCAAACATTCCCTTGGCTCGAAGTTCACAAGGAATGCTTTTACGACTCAAAGTAGCGTTTTCAAACATGATGTAACTTTTGATTCACCTGGTTTGGCAGCTGGAAGTTAGGGCTTTGTGACCCAATTAAGTCTCTCCCGCGCGCGAGTTCTCCGATCATTGCTCTCTTATCATTACCTTATCATTAATTAGGTCCCGAATTCACGCTGCCTAGGGCGACCTTGGGGTTCAGAAGCAAAAAATGTCTACAACTTCGTCCAGTAAATCATTTAAAAGATCTGGAATGCTGTTCATAATTAGCAGTCTAAGGTTGCAGGTGTTTCCAGAGCTCGCAATAATGTGCATATAATCTTTATAAATAATGAAATGTGAAACTGGTAAGATCATTAGCATACTGCATAATTAGGTATGTCTGTTCGTAATTGTCTGATTAGAACGTTTCTGAGTCCAAGACAGTTTTAAAACAACCGCTTCCAGGTTTGAAGCGAGCTCATTGTGATGTTTTCGATCAATCGATAATGCAAGAAAACGCATCGGCAGCGCTCGCAGAAGCTCAAGGTAAAATTCTAGGTGATACTGCAAAGATAGATTAGATATTCCAAAACATTGTTAACTTCGTAATCAAGACGATTAGCTCCTTCCCCACGCATCAGCTGTCACTTTGAAGTTGGAAAAAAATCTCTAAGGATGTTGCATAGTTTAGAATCGATTGCACATTGCACCTCAATCAGCTTCTAAGCTATAGATATGGTTTGCAGGTCTCGAGCGAGCCCATAGTGAAATCGTCCAACCAAAACGAAAGCGAACTGAATCAGACAGATCCTTCACTCATTCATATTAGTATATCAAACAATTAGTGTATCAATACTTATGTTATATCATTACCAGTATTATATTACTTGCATTTTCATTGTTTTGTTATCCGGTCCATCAAGGTTCTTACAATACTATTGCTACCGCACATGATACGTATCGCTGTTCTTGAAGGGATGTCAATAATTATACAGTCGATACATTTCATATGATCATGTGTGTCACTGCACACACTGTCCACCACTGGCGTTTCCATCCTGGATTTGCAATCGCAAAAACGCAAGAGACTAACCGATTGTTATTGCTTACATCATTTTGTGGAGATTAGTACCTAAAAAGGAGAATAACCATGAGGAAAACATCGAAAACTCTTAGCAGAAGGCTATTTGTTCCTACAATCTAGGATGAGGACGCAAAAGGTGGATAGTGTGTGCAGTGACACACATGATCATACGAAATGAATCGACGGTAGTACTTATACTTATAATAAGTATATCAAGCATGTCATTATTAGTATTATATATAGTATTGATATTGCGTGTTTACTTATATGTGCTTCGTTAATTTGATAGCGGTCCATGAAGTGTTGTTGACATATTATTGACGCTGACGCAAAAGCATGGAAACAGACCATCAGTTAAGTAATAAGTGAATGATATCAGTGGTCCTTGCCCTTGACGCTACGAAAGATGCAGTGGTTTCTATGACGATTTCCTTAAACATGAGGCACCCGTGTTTGACTCGTTTTGGGGTCAAACTAAGATGCTGCTCATGCTTCGGCTGGACACTACCTGAAAATATTTTTCTCGGAATAGATAAAAAAACGGGGCTGGGATTTGGCACAGGGGGGTAACCGAGCATGCTGATCACCCCAGGGGAATGATCAGCATGCTCGATTACCCCCCCCCCCCCCTGTGCCAAATTCCAGCCCCCTAGCTCAAATTTTGCGAAAAATCGATAAATATCGATCGATAACGAAAAGTAGCCTATGACACCCGCCCGGCCCCGAAGTGTAAGTGTGCAAAGTTTGGTCCCGATCGGTTAGTAAATAAAATTTTCTATTCGGAACATACGTACACACAGACACACACAGACAGACATACAGACAGACAGACAAACAGACATTCAGCTTTATATATAAGATTCAAACCAAAATCGACGTTCTGCTTTGTCAGATGATGTCCTTTCCATCCATATTTTCCCAAACACAATAAGCACAGCCAATTTGTAAAATTATTTGTTTTTGAGTGGTGAATTATTTGTCTTTGAGTGGTGAAGCATTACTTCCATTATCTCCCAATTTATGAGTAGTTATCTTTCTCTGACCTATGATTTTGAGAGGTCCAATGGCAGGCATCTTTTGAGATTGACATTTGTTTATGCAGGTTACTGCAAAAGGAAGTGGAGGAGGAGGGGGGGTCGTACAGATGGGTACCTCGTGCAAGTGGCTTAATTATGCTTGTAAATAGTTATAAGAATTTTTTAAAATTTTTAAATTTAAGTTAGCCTTAGAAAAAGATTTTCGGGAGCGTGGCTTCTTCTAAAATTCGGGTTAGGGGCCCGAATAGGTTCAGTAAGCATAGTAAAAAAATTTCGGAGTGCGTGGCTAACGCCACGCACCTTCATTAGAAAAAATCTTTTGTCCCTCCCCCCCCCCCCCCCCGAAAGAAATCCTGGATACGCCACTGCGGATTAGAGGTTTGCCGTCTCTGCGTTGCCCCCCCCCCCCTCCTTAAAGCTGCGATGAATGTGATTTGTACCGTTTATATGGCAAAATTAACCTTATGTGTTTAGCGCATTCTCCAGCGTAAAGCAACAGTTCTTCTCCGAATATTAATAACCTTATGTATAGTGGTGGTTTGAAGCCAAAATCGAAAAAAATTTATTTGTCACCTGAAAGTTATTTTTGCGAAAAAATCCTACGACGTCCAACTTGTTCATTCATTATACAGTAGGTACATAGCAGTACACAATAAATCACAAACGAATCTGAATGAATGGAGTCTGTAAATCCGCTACGCTCCTTGGCATGCAACATACAAGGGCCCCCGGTTCACTATAAATAAATAAATAAGTCACTGGCGAAATACGCTGTTATACACAAATGGCCCAAAATCAGACGTATGCCTAGACCACCGCTACAAATCCCCCACCTCAATTTATCAGGCGAGCATATATACGGCCGCGGATCGCTGCGACTGCTGCTAATAGCGTTTTCGTATTTTCGAAACGTCCATCGTTCGATTTGCGACCTTTCACGGCCGAAGGGACAGAGCAGATTGAGAGATTGTCAACGACAGCAGATTTTTGCCGATGATACGCGATTAATTAACGCACTTTGGACTTCTTTCGACAAGCCCCCGCAATTAGAGAATTCACTCCACTCCCTCTCTCATGACTAATAAGTCAAAGTGCACATGCACAATAATAAAAGCTATTGTTCTATCGTATCTAAAAATTTTTCCTGCCTCGATGGGAATTCTGATATGACGAATTTAAAAAAAAACAAGGACGTAATAATCAAAGCGCTGAAAAGAGAGCTCTTATCAAATGTGAGGCGAGAGTTTGTGGCAAGACAAACGTCACAAGATATCATCTAATTTAACAGCTAACTACTGGTAGATAAGACGTGGTAAAAACAAAACAGCTACCCAACGAAATCTATTTCAAAATCAAATACAAACATGTCTAAGGTTGCCTGTTTTCAATAGCTATACATTAGGTTATTATGAAAAACGAAAACTTCTGCAAAATGATCAAATGAGTAAAAATGTATGCATTCAACTTCTACATTTGCGCGAAAATCTACAAAGAACAGCAGCCTGATGCGTCCACATTACAGCGACGCGGTCATTTTTCTCATAGACATTATTATACTTTATAATTTGTTTAGTATCGAAATAAGACGAAACATAGGAGAAATGAAGGGTTTGGAATCTTTTGAAAAGCAATAAGTGATTCGGGCACGTTATGTACCAGTGCAATGCATCTTGAACAACAGCATCAGAAGAACTTGTTTTTTAAAATCCGCAATTCTTACCGCTAGCAATGAAATACAGATAGTGTAACAAAAATTGCAAGACATCAAGTTCTCTTTTTTCGCTGCGAATTTCCTATCACTGAACATCTGTCCTTCTGATCACAACTTGCGACGATTCCAAACCAGTAGCAGAAAGTAGCGAAGATGTGCACTCAGACGTGCTGAATGTGGCTGTAGTATGAATGAAAGAAAGTGAAAAAATAGAGAAAGACACAGCATAGCATTACAAGAAAAGAAAGTGAGAGGTAGCCAGCAACCGTGTAGAGTCTGGACATTGGCATCACGTATGATGAAAATGCACGAACATTTCACTATACGAATGACAGAATCCAGCTTAAACGGCGATAGTGGCAGAAAAAAGATAGGCAATAAAAAGCGGAATCACCAAGTTAACCTTCACATTTTAGAACGTACAGGGATTACTGGGCTACTAAACCGGCTTTGGGAATCAAAAAAAGGAAAAAAAAGACCAGTCATCGTAAGGAACGGCTAACATGAAGGAACTTTGCGAGGATAAAACAAAAAACTCATGAAGTAAGCCAGAAAACTACAACAAACTACAATCAGATCATGCGATTCATTTGAGCTCGAAGTGCATATGGTTTCATAAAAAAGTCTATGAGAAAAAGTGAAGGCTAAAAGCCTTGGAAGAAAAACTTCAATCACCAGAATTTTAGAGAGTTGCTCGGATATTTATTGGTTCAGACTAATTACCAGAAAAAGAAGTTGAATAAAGCAGCAAAAGCAAACGCGAAGACAGCTAATCTCAAGTGAAAAAAAACAATTTACACGGTGAAAAACTTCAAGGATCATAGTACGGATAAGGGAACGATAAGATGAGTGAAAGCGAATAGAAAATAAAAAAGAGAATAAAGAAGAAAAAGAAAAAAAGAAAAATAAAGAAGTGAATTGCAAAGCTTTTGAAGATCGTTGAAAAAACAAGATTCTTCTGCCGATTCCAATTACCACTTTTTAAACTTTTTGAAGTAAAGTTCAGGATTCTTGAAGTGCTTAATTTTGTGGGCTCTTAGATTGGATTTTGTTCTCAAAAGAATGGACTTTCAATGGAATTTTTGGTTCAACCTAGTTTATTTCATATGATAGAATAATGTGCCAATGCTCATGTTTTTTACATAAGCTTTCAGAACATTCTCAATGCTTTACCAAACTTCTTTATGATTTCCACAGCTGCGTATTAAACGCTAAGATGACTGTCGATGCAAAAAGATTCGCGTCTGCTTGAGACGATACGAAAAGTAAAAAATCAAAACGCACATGTGCAATCCAATACTATGCAAACACATGAAAAAGTGAAAGGGCATTAATAACAATGAAAGGGGATGTACGCACCACAAGATGTATAGAAAATTCCGTGTTAGGAAAAAAGGAAAGTCTTTCAGCCGTATAGAAAGGATGTAAAAGTTGTGTGAAGAACACAATTTACTTGACACCTAACTCAACGTCGCAAAAGAATACGCCTAGGAACAGCAAACGTTGGAAAAGTTGGTAAGCAGCTGATATAGTGCCCCTAGGTGAGAATAATGCTTGCGCATGAAAAAATCGAGCAAGACTAGATTTAGCGACCCAAAGCTTTTCACCCTGTTGTTAGAACCGCTAGAGTACTGCATCACTTCAGATCTTCTAGACATACTTCTACATATGAAAATTGAATAAAACAAAAAAGTGAAGTATATAAGTGAGCACTGATAATGAAAAACTAAATGTGCGATTTTTCTAATGATTCCTTATTGATTCCACATTCCCCATTAGCCCTCCACTGCCTTATCTACTGAAAATCTGCCGACAGTAAGTCTACAACCTGCATTTACTATTGTAAAGATAAGATGAGTTCTCACTGCCTGGTAAGAGCTGTCTAGACAGACTTAGCTGGTGAATGACAATAGTTAAGTCTACAAGAAAAATTTGGAAGGGAAACTTTCTTTTCTAATTCGAAACGGAACTGCATTACTGCATTGAGTCTGATTGATGTCAACAATACAGACTGAGATAACGCGGTTGACTGAAAGTTGATATAGTCATCAAATTCCACAGAGTATCAAGTACTTGTAAGGAATTAGCGCTGTAACGAAAGAGAATTCTTCCCAAATATAGTCATCACTGCTCCAACCCTTATCACAAAGGGATTAGGCCTACGATTTCACAAGAGGACAAAGTCTGCTGCTTTGCATGAGAGGTCGGGTGATCTCACTCCACATCCAGTTGTTTAGTGCAAAAACAAGTTTGGCGTTGCAA